GCTCAAATTAACACCTAGATTATAATGTGTGTAATATGGTCTCCTATATCCTCTAAGTAGTCCTAGTTCAAGACTTTGCTCACTAGTGACTTTGGAATAGGAATCATTGACTCACTAAGTAGAGGTCCAAGGCATTGCTACATCTATTATGCATGGTAATCCATCCTTGCCTATATATTTTTCATCTTCTAAGTTTCTTTTATTTTTAATTAGAATGGAGGGGGAATGTTGGAGATTTTAATTAAATAATTGCAAATCATCTGTGACCAATCGGTTATGAATCCACCATTTTTCAAAAAATTAAATTTGTGCAGTTACAAACCCATGCTTTCTTGGAATTGTGCGTTTTTTTCTTAAAGAAAAAATTAAATTCAAACACTGTAACCGGCCAGCAAATGGCTCACCAATTTCAAAATCTATTTTATTCACCAGTTTCATTTCTTTGTAACTCACATATGCCATTTTTAAATTCCAACCGTTTCTCATTTTAATTTACTTCGGTCATGTGGTTGAGTGAAGGCCTAAAAGTAGGCAGCCTCCATTTCTACAGTAGTTTTTTTGATATTATTTTTTCATAATCTGTACTCCTATTCTAAAAAAACACAACATTCAAACTTTTTTTGGGTAGAAAAAGATAGTGAGGTAGAGCTTTTTTTACAATAGTGCAGTACTTATAAAGATACAATAAAAAGGTTAGGCTGTTGTATCCTAGGGATGGCATGACTATAAAAATCTACTAGATTAGTGACACGAAATGTCTTAAAAAAAGTGATTCATTCATGCCTCAACTTAATTTACTCATATTTTTTGTGACATCTTTCTATTTTTTTTTAATTTTTAATTAATTATTTTTTTTGCAAATTTTTTGTCTATTTTTTTTCTATTTACTTTACGAAGAACAACAACTAGTAGCACTAGTGGGACCACAGTATTATTGACAAATTACTTAGAAAAAGCACAATATTTTTGTTTTCGGTGGTAGACAGGCACACAATTAATAAACTTCCTTGCTGACACACATTTTAACAAAGCTGAAGCCATAATTAATGTAAGCGTTATCCTCAATGTATGTGAACGTAGATATTTGCATTCTTAATTAACCAATTTAACATGTTGATGATATATATATATATACGAGCAGCAAATTGATGGGTGATGTGGTCAAAACCTTTCTTTTTCTTATGGATCGTTATTGGTTAGAACCCCATTTCATTTCTCTAATTTATCAAAAAAAACTATTTTTTACTTTATTTACTTAAGAAAACTCTTTTTTTGGTTTTTAAAATTTATTATATCATCCAATTTTTAGTCTTATTATTATCTTTTTACACACATAATATATTAAATGAAGAAATTTTCAAAATTTAAATCACATTAAAAGTCTCTTTTTAATTATTCTACTTTAGAAATTTTATATGAAAAGAATAATGAAAGGACTAAAAAAGAATCAATAATAAATTTTAGGAATTAAAAATAAATTTTTTTAAGCAGACGAATTAAAAATAAATTTTTTATTGAAATAAAGAAATCAAAATAGAGTTTTAACCATCATTATTTAGCATATATATAATCATTTCCTAATCTCAAGGTAAACAGTTCTTAAGGGATAAAAGTCACTCCTCAACTAAAAATTAAAGAATGGCACCGAGTCCTTCGGGTCAAGTGGCAATAGCCACCCATGGTGCATTCCTCCCTCCCCTAGGGCTGGGGTTCGAATCCAGCCCCTTATAAAATCAGTTAAAAAAAAGAATGAATAGTACTAATAATATACTCCCTCTCTCATCTAGAATTTAGTTGTTGCGTTTTGATTTTGATATAAATTTTAATTAGATAATTTTATATAGTAAATAGATAACAATTGAAATTTTTTTTCTTTTAATACATAGTACTTGTTAAATATTTCACTTAGATAAAGAAAATTTAATTATTATTAATTTACTATATAAAATTATCAAGTTAAATTCTATATAAAAATTAAATTAAAACAACTAAGGGTGCACTTGA